TCAAGCAGGGAGGGCTTTGCCTAGCCTGGGTGAAGCTTGTTGTTTTTATACCAACCACTCTGGAGTCATAAAGGAGAGCCTCAGCCAATTAAGAAAAAGATTAAAGGAAAGGGAGGAAGCCAGTTCCAGCCAGGGAACTGGTATGAAAACCTCTTTACGTGGTCCCCTTGGCTAACAACTCTTATTAGTGCCTTAGCCGGCCCCCTCCTCATTCTATTGCTAGCTCTAACTGTGGGTCCTTGTTTGTTCAGATCTCTGGTAAGTTTAATACAATCCAGAGTCCAGGACCTTAAGATCATGGTCCTCCAAACTCACTATCATAGTCTCAATATGGAGGACCGGGGGGAGGAGGAATCAAAGATTTGATTCCCTGATAAGACCAGTAGGAATGTCTGCCCTGTCTGCCCAAGAGATAAGGACTATGACAGTCGCCCCCTCTGCCCAAGAGATAAGGACTCTGGAAACAGACCAGGCCAGGGGAGAAAAGTTTAAAAAAATAAAGTCAGTCGTAACTCAGTGCCGGAAGAGATTGGGGTCATAAAAACCGCAGCATCCTGCACTCCTGTTGGGAGTCAGAACAGACATTCTGTTTGAAGCAAAACAGGCCAGGTTGTGTAAATCACCTAAGGATACAGCTAAAGATGGCCAGTTCTTTGTCTTGGGGGGCCAATCAAAGAATGACAGATCAACAGTGGGATGGGATGGGAAAAAGAGGTATAAGAGGAGGGACTGCCCCTCCATTGGGGCTCTTGCCTGGGTGTTTGCCGGCTGCTGTGTCAGCTAAGGTTTGAGCCCGGATTTGAATCTGTAATAAACTCTGGCATGCTTAAATAAAAAAAATAAAAAAAATAAAAAAAAAAAAGTATTCCAAGAGCTGACAGACTTAGAAGAGGGAAAGGAAAGGAGGAAGTAAGTGGTGGGAGATGATGGCAGAGAGGAGGAGGCGGAGGCAAATTGTAAGGGCTTTGGAGGCCAGCCTGGGGACGTCAGCTTTTGTGTCAAATGGGTTCAGAGGTCAATGATTTGGAGGCAGGCAAATTACATGATCTAAATGTTTTCTTGCTGCCCCATCAGTGTGGCTTGAACTTAGAGTCACCAGTTCAATTCAGAAGCCCAGGTTGCAGGCTCAATCCCAAGTAGGGAGGCGTGCAGAAGGCAGTCGATCAATGATTTTTATCATTGATGTTTCTTTTTTTTTTTTTTTTAAATATATTTTATTGATTTTATACAGAGAGGAAGGGAGAGAGTTAGAGAGTTAGAAACATCGATGAGAGAGAGTCATCGATCAGCTGCCTCTTGCACACCCCCTACTGGGTATATGCCCGCAACCAAGGTACATGCCCTTGACCGGAATCAAACCTGGGACACTTCAGTCCCCAAGCCGATGCTTTATCCATTGAGCCAAACCGGTCCCGGCTCATCATTGATGTTTCTATCTCTCTCTTCCTCTCCCTTCCTCTCTGAAATCAATACAATTAAAAATATGTTTTCTTGCTTATATTTATTTATTTGTTTGTTTGTTTTTGTTAATCCTCACCTGAGGATGTTTTTCCATTTATTTTTAGAGAGAGTGGAAGGGAGAAGAGATAGAGAAAAAGAAACATTGATGTGAGAGAGAGATGTTGATTGGTTGCCTTCCACGTTCGCCCCAACAGGTCTGAGGATGGAGCCTGAAACCAAGGTACATGCCCTTGACTGGAATCGAACCTGGACCTTTCAGTCCCAGGGACAATGCTCTATCCACTGAGACAAATTGGCTAGCGCTCTTGCTTACTTTTTTTTTTTTTTTTAAATATCTTTTATTGATTTTTTACAGAGAGGAAGAGAAAGGGATAGAGAGCTAGAAACATCGATGAGAGAGAAACATCAATCAGCTTCCTCCTGCACATCCCCCACTGGGGATGTGCCCACAACCACGGTACATGTCCTTGACCAGAATCGAACCTGGGATCTTTCAGTCCACAGGCTGACACTCTATCCTCTGAGCCAAACCGGTTTTGGCTGGAGAAACACATTTGAAATCATCAGGAAGCTTCCTACCCTCTGTTGCCTTCTCCATAAATTGGGAAAAACAGAAATACCTACTTTGTAAAGTACATGTGAAGTATGGTAGCAACAATACTTGGATTAAAAACTGCTGTTTGAATTTTCACGCTGCTATTCTGGCTTCTGCACGCACTGACTTGCTTAAACAATAGGGTAGTTGCCTCAGCTTCCAGATTGAGACCTGGAGGCTAAGGCAGTTTTCCTGTGCCTGTGGACCAGGACCACAGGAGACGGATTCCCACTGACTCAGTAGCTTCAGGAGTTGAAACTGTAGATATCTTTAGAGATTAACCGCTCAGCTCTGCTTCTATACTATCTGCTATCGCAAGATAGGGCCACATTCCAACGTCCAGCAGGATGTGCCTGGGAATGACCCTGTGGGCTGTTCCCAGCCTTTAGAATTTAGAATTTAGAACAAAGGAAATTTTTGTGGTTTGGACCTTTAAAAGGACTGCCTACACCTGGAACAGTGCGGTCGTGTGGACTCCACCTGCATGTGGTGCTCTGGCGGCCGTCCTGGCCAGTTCAATAAATCCTTGCCTGCTTTTTTAAATCAATCATCAGTCTTCGGTGGTCTTATTTTGAACCCAGGACTCGACCCCACAACACATGTATGAATAAAAATTAATGAATAGATCTGGATTTAAAACGTGAAGCTAGAGGCGAGCGCTCACAAATAATCTTGACAGAGTACTTGGGCTAGAGCTCTGAAGAGGGGCTTGTCTGACTGTTACCCCACTCGTTTCTTTTTTTATTTTTTTAAAAATATATTTTATTGATTTTTTACAGAGAGGAAGGGAGAGGGATAGAGAGCTAGAAACATCGATGAGAGAGAAACATCGACCAGCTGCCTCTTGCACACCCCCTACTGGGGATGTGACCACAACCAAGGCACATGCTCTGGACCGGAATCGAACCTGGGACCTTTCAGTCCGCAGACCGACACTCTACCGCTGAGCCAAACCGGTTTCGGCTACCCCACTCGTTTCTGGGGGCAAGCTCCAGGCACCCTTCTTCACCAACAAGAATAACTATGCAGTAGATAATGTTCCCTTCTCAATCCCTGTCGCTTCTGAAGTTGCTGATCTTAGTAACATCATTGATAAGTTGCTGGAGGCTAAAAATGAGCCCGCAAACATGTGGAATTTGATTTCCTTGTCAAGGGCCAGTTTCTACGAACGCCCTTGCTCAAGCATATGGAACTGGAAAACTTCTCACCGGAAGAGGTTGTGGTACTAGAATATGTGGAGGACGCTGCACCTCAGACAGGGCAATGCTTATTCCATGATGACTTGATCAGCTCAATCCAAGGGGTAGAGGAATGGATCTTGACTGGTTCTTATGATAAGACTTCTCGGGTCTGGTCCTTGGGAGGAAAGTTGATAATGACGATAGTGGGACATACAGACGTCACAAAAGATGTGAAAAAGACAACCTGTCTTGCCTACTGCTGAGTGCCTCAATGGACCAGACTATCCTCTTTCGGGAGTGGAATGTGGAGAGAAACAAGGTGAAAGCCCTGCACTGCGGCAGAGGCCACGCTGGGAGTGTGGACTCCAGCGCTGTCGACGGCACAGGAACTACATTTTTCCGTGGCTTCTGGGGTAAGATGCTAAAGAGCTGGTCTACAGTCCCTACAGATGAAAAAGATGAGACGGAGGAATCCACAAATCGACCAAGAAAGAAACAGAAAACAGAGCGATTGGGACTAACAAGGCCGCCCATTGTGACCCTGTCTGGTCATAAAGAAGCAACTTCCTCGGTTCGGTGGTCAGGTGCTGAGGAAATCTGCAGTGCATCCTGGGACCACACAATCAGAGTATGGGAATTGATTTTTTTTTTTAAAAAAAATATTTTATTGATTTTTTTAACAGAGAGGATAGAGTATGGGAATTGAGTCTGGCAGTCTTAAGTCAACCTTGACAGGAAATAAAGTATTGAATTGTATCTCCTACACTCCACTCTGTAAACGTTTAGCATCTGGACGTACAGATAGGCACGTCAGACTGTGGGATCTCCGGACTAACGATGGTTCTCTGGCATCGCTGTCCCTAACCGCACATACCAGCTGGGCCACGGCGGTAAAGTGGTCTCCTACCCATGAGCAGCAGCTGATTTCAGGTTCTTCTTCTTCTTTTTCTTCTTTTTAAAAAAATATATTTTATTGATTTTTTTACAGAGAGGAAGAGAAAGGGATAGAGAGTTAGAAACATCGATGAGAGAGAAACTGTTGGGGGTCGAAACCTGGGTTCAAAATAAGACCACCGGAGGCTGATGATTGATTAAAAAAAAAAAAACAGGCAAGGATTTATTGAACTGGCCAGGACGGCCGCCAGAGCACCACACGCAGGTGGCCACACTCACAACCACGCTATTCCAGGTGTAGGCAGTCCTTTTAAAGGTCCAAACCATAAGAATTTTCCTTTGTTCTGAATTCTAAATTCTAAATTCTAAAGGCTGGGAACAGCCCACAGGGTCATTTCCCAGGTACATCCTGCTGGACGTTGGAATGTGACCCTATCTTGCGATAGCAGATAGTACAGAAGCAGAACTGTTTCTACTCCTGAAGCTACTGAGCCAGTGGGAATCAGTCTCCTGTGGTCCCGGTCCACAGGCACAGGAAAATTGCCTTAGCCTCCAGGTCTCAGTCTGGAAGCTGAGGCAACTACCCTATTGTTTAAGCAAGTCAGTGCGTGCAGAAGCCAGAATAGCAGGGTTAAAATTCAAACAGCAGTTTTTACCTGAGATGCATAGTCTTAATGTCTTATTTCATTAACATCGATCAGCTGCCTCCTGCCCACCCCCCACTGGGGATGTGCCAGCAACCAAGGTATATGCCCTTGACCGGAATGGAACCTGGGACCTTTCAGTCCGTAGGCAGACGCTCTATCCACTGAGCCAAACCAATTTCGGCGTGAGAATTGTTTTTAGTAAATACCCCTACAGGGTAGCATCTAACTGTCCAAGTGCACAGGCACCAGGGGGTTATCCTCACAGGCAATGACCACACGCCTAGTGCTGGCCCAGGCCTGATAATTGCACATGGGGGGCTGGTAACGTTCCATAATCACCCTGTCTGAGGAATAGGGGGCCTTGGAACGTGTATGTTTGCAGTCTGTGACTTTTACTACGCCCTCATGGCAGTTCATCCTGCCCCTCTTGCACTGGATATTGGGGTTCTTGCAGATGTTCTTAATGGTCCTGATGTTTTCATGGATGAAGGTGTTGGAATCCTTGCAATGACCTGAAGTCATCCCCCGTCTTTCCATCATCGTGTTGCAGTACAAGTCGGCGCCACCTGACCCTTCAGAGTCCACATGTTGCCGCTGGAATTTTTCATATGGGGTCTCTCCATAGAGGAGCTTCACCAGCCTCAGCCCCAGCAGGGTCAGCAGCAAGAGCAGAAGCAGTGAAAGGGGCTTCTGGAGAGCCATCACTGTCTTGGAGGCGCCTGCTTCTTCCTCCTTTGTAAGAAAACGGGAGCTAGAGAGGATCCAAGATGGCTGCTCGGGTAGACATCTAGCCGCGGCAGCACACAACAATTTCAATGGAATACAACTAAAATGTAGAGTGGACATTGCCCAGAGCTACAGGTAGTCGACTGACTGAAATTTCTACAACAAGAAGGAAAGAGAAAACCAGAAAGAAAATCAGAGGAGCTGGAAAAGCCTAAGGTACGGAGACATGCTGCTTGCATGCCTGCACGCACGCGCGGAGAGGTCCCAGCCGGAGAGGAGGAGAGGGCTGGGTGCTGCCTTTCCCTCCCTAGCAGGAAGGAAATAAAACCCCCAGCCTGGGCTGAACCCCCCCGAACCTGGCAGCGCTGAGCCCCAGTTATGGGCCAGACCCTGGGGACCCAGGCTCCGGTGGGAGGAGACGGGGCTGTGAGGCGGGAAAACGGCGAAAAGCAGGGCCCCGGGAGTCGCGCGCAATGCGCGCAGAGGACAGTCTGTTGACTCTGATGCTGGATTTCTCTAGCGGGAAGGAGAAAAAAAAAAAGCTCCAGGCTGGGGGAACGCGGAGGGGAGCGGAAGCCCCTGCCGGACTCCAGCCAACCGGGCACCAGCAAGGAGGCGGGCCACGGGGCCCCTGGGGGCGTGGGTGCCCCTGAGCCTTTGACCACTGAGCTCGGCAATGGAGCCAAGGCCGGGGGCTGCTTCCTGGGCGGCGCCGTCCCTGGCAACAGGCTGAAGCAGCGCAGGAGCCCTCGGAGAACAAAGGGGTGCCACAGGCCAACCTGCTGAGCTCCCAGGACAAGGAGGAAGAAACCAAAGAAGTTCTCAATGTGAAGAAATCAAGTGAGAGCAAAAAATAGTAAAATTACTTAAGAAAGAATACAAAGAAGATCTTGAAAAATCAAAGACTAAGTCAGAACTCAACTCACCAGCCAACATTGCAACATTAATGCGTTTTAAAAAGAAAAAAAAAAAAAAAAAAAAAAAAAGGACAGAATGTTGGAACAGCAGCGGCCAGGCCTAGAGTGGCCAGGCACAAGGCAGTGGCAGCCAGACCCGGAGCAGCAACGGCCAGGCCCCAGAGCAACAGCAGCCAGAACCAGAGCATCAACAGCCAGCACTGGAGTAGCCAGACCTAGGGCAGTGGCAGCCAGGCATGAGGCGGAGGTGGCCAAGCCCAGGGTGGCCAGTCCAGGAACACCCAGACCCGGAGTGGCCGGGCCCGGAGAAGCCGGGCCCAGAGCAGCCGGGGTGGGAGCAGCCAGACCCAAAACAGCAGTAGCCAAGCCCAGAGCATCCAGGTCGGGAGTGGCCAGGCTCGGAGCGACTGGGCCCGGGGCAGCCGGGCCCAGAGCAGCTGGGTCAGGTGCGGCCAGGCCCAGAGCAGCGGCTGCCAGGCTGGGAGCGGCCAGGCCCGGGGGAGCAGCCGGGTCAGGTGCGGCCAGGCCCGGAGCAGCGGCTGCCAGGCTGGGAGCGGCCAGGCCCGGGGGAGCAGGCGGGTCGGGTGCGGCCAGGCCCGGAGCAGCGGCTGCCAGGCTGGGAGCGGCCAGGCCCGGGGGAGCAGCCGGGTCGGGTGCGGCCAGGCCCGGAGCAGCGGCTGCCAGGCTGGGAGCGGCCAGGCCCGGGGGAGCAGCCGGGTCGGGTGCGGCCAGGCCCGGAGCAGCGGCTGCCAAGTCCAGAGCAACTAGGTCGGGAGCGGCAGTGACCAGACCCGGAGCAGCTGGTTGTGGAACGAACCAGAGCAACAGAGGCCAGGCCCTGAGCAGCCAGGCCCGGAACAGCTCACTCCTCGCCTGCCCCTGCCTCATGGCTGCCTCTCAGACATGGCTGGAAACTTTCGTGGGAACTTGAGGGTCTGCTGAATCAAGAGATGAAGGCTTAGATCTGGATGTGTTGAGTTAGTATAGGGCTGGGGTGTTGATCTGTGAGTGCCTTGGGTGGGGCCTAGATGAGGCTGGTGGACCTATTGGGAAATGTCTTTTGTGTGAAGAGTATCATTGGGCATGTGGAGGTATTATTGATATGAGAAAATGCTAAGTAACTGATTTACTATCTGAAAAGGGATTTACTATCGGGGAAATTGAGGGAAGAAGAGACTGAACATAAACTGCACCTATGGATGAGGACAATGGGGGATGGGGAGGGGGCAGAGGGTGGGGTGGGAACCTGGTGGAGGGGGGAAGAAATGAGGAACCTTTGTAATAATATGAACAATAAAGATTGATTTAAAAAAAAAGAAAAAAAAAAAAAAGAAAACGGGAGCTAGAAAACAGGAAGATGCTGTTTTGACTCCTGCTTTGGATCTACGCCGGGTGCTTGTCGAGTTTATTATATTTTTGAAAAATTAATGAATAGATTAAGCCCAGAATAGGTCCTTAATTCTTTTTTAAAAAATTAGTATATATATATATATATATATATATATATATATATATATTTTTTTTTTTTTTTTTTTTTTTTTTTTTCCCCGAAACCGGTTTGGCTCAGTGGATAGAGTGTCGGCCTGTAGACTCAAGAGTCCCAGGTTCGATTCCGGTCAAGGGCTTGTATCTTTGTTTAGGGCACATCCCCAGTGGCAGCTCGTCAATGTTTCTCTCTCATCGATGTTTCTAACTCTATCCCTCTCCCTTCCTCTCTGTAAAAAAATCAATAAAATATATTTAAAAAGAAAAATATTATATTTTTTATTAATTTCAGAGAGGGAGAGGTAGAAATCGAACCCAGGACCCTTCAATCCGCAGGCCTACACTCTAACCAGAGCCAAAGCAGCTAGGAAAAGATGCTTAATTCCTCAGTTACTATTTGTTTGTATATTGACACTTATTCATTCAAAGGACAAAATATGCAAAGGATACAGTGATTATGACTATGGTCTCTGGAGTGGGCTCCCGGATTCCAGTCCTTACTTCACTTGCTGGCTGTGTGATACAGTCCTGTTTCCTCATCTATAAAAGGGCATAATTATTATATCTATACATAGGGTTATGAAAAGTAGCCAAGACAATTGAGTATAGTTACTTAGTAAGCACTCAGAGAAATTATTTATCTACTAGAGGCCCGGTACAGGAAATCTGTTACATGGGCATGGTCCCTCCGCCTGGCTGGTGATCAAAGCACGAGCATCTGGTGAGGAAGAGCAAGTCCCAGCTGACCACTGGGCCCTGGGCGCACCTGGGCCCCCACGTGTCCCTCTGCAGGGGTCATTGGGCCCTACCCAGCTCCCTTGGTGCGCCTGGGAGGCAGGCACCCGCCATACCCATCAGGGCTGCCAGCACTGGATTGCCAACACCCGCCATGGTCCATGCCGCCCCCTGGTGGTCAGCACACGTCATAGCAAGCGGTCCAACTAGGTGGAGGGGACAATTTGCATACAGGTATTAGGCTTTTATTATATATAATTAGCGGAAGAGACAAGCCTTGAGCAAATAATGCTTTCATCATATGAGCAATAAATTGCCTCTTCTTTTTCTTTTTTAAAATATAAATCTTTTTTGTTCATATTATTACAAATGTTCATTTTTTTCCCCCTCCGTTGCTCCCCTCCACCAGGTTCCCACCCCACCCTCTGCCCTTTCCACACATCCCATTGTCCTCATCCATAGGTGCACAATTTATGTTCAGTCTCTTCTAGAAGCCTCTTTTTCTTAAAAAATATTTTTATTGATTTCAGACAGGGAAGGAAAGGGAGAGAGATCCGCTGACTCCCGCACGCCCTTTACTGGAAACCGAGCCCGAAAAGCAGGCATGCGCCTCCACTGGAATGGAACCAGGCCCTTCGGTCCAAGCTCCATCCACTGAGCCGAACCGGTTTCGGCTCTACCATCTGCTTAAGACGCCCCCTCCCGGGACTCCTCTCCCAGACCTCCCGGCGCCCCTGCTTTGAAAATCTCCCCGGACTGAACTCGAGGGCACAGTAGCCCGGCGCCGGGTGCAGGACATGCAGGGAGTGAGGAACGACGGCGAACGGGCCCCCTCAGCCTCTGAATACACCGTTTACCGGGTTCCTCCGGCCCCTGCGGAAAGGTCTCCGCGCCTCACGCTCCCGGTACCGGGAGCCGGCGCCCCGCCCCGGAAGGCCGTCGGACTACAACTCCCGGCGGTCTGCGCGGCGCGCTGCTCTAATCGTCAGACGCAGCCGCGAGAGGCGGGGCCTATATATACTCCCGCCCGGCAGCCACCCGTCCTTTCTCCCGGCCGCCGCGCTGCGGGTCACTCGTTCTGTGGGGAACTCGCCTGCTGCCACCCACGCCCTCCCCCCTTTCCCCACCCTTCGCTCCTCAGTCCGGTCGCCAGCGACCCCGCACTCACTGCGCTGCCTCCCGAGGCTGCAGGATGGCAGGTGCGGACGGGAGGAGCCGGCCTCCCCGCCCGCTGGGCCGAGGGCCTCCGGGGCGCGTAGGCCGCATGCGCGGGGAGCGGGGCCGAGGCCCGAGCGGAGCCGCCCTTCGCCCGCCGGAGGCCGCGCGGCCCTGCGCTCCGGTGTGACAGGTGAGGACGCGGCGGGCAGCCGGGCGCGCGGGGGTCTTGAGTGTTTAATTTGGGGGAGTCGCGTGGTGCCAGCCAGACTTTGATCTGCTGGGTGACTCTGATCAAGAGACTTCAGATTAATAACATGGCTGCACCGCACACGTTACGGAGGCCACGTGTTCTGGCGGGTGGGCTATACTCTCGGTCATTCTCGTACTAAGTGGTAAGGCGGACTACAAGGGGGGCTGTTTCCGGCCCCTGGACGGTGGGTTCCGGTGGGCAGGAACGATGCTCGGGGCCGGGCCGCGGCCGGGACGGTCCTGTGCGGCGCAGTGGCCCTTATCGAAGCTGCAGCTGCTTCCGCGTAGCTGCTGCGGTCAAAAAGGAGCCCAGAGTGACAGTTTTCCTCGACGGTCGCCGTTCTGTTTGCTGTAACTGATCTGCAACATTTCAGGAAAAGACAGTTCATTGTATCTGACGTTTCTCACATAAACGGATCCTTATTCAAGTTGGCATGTCTCCAGAGGCCAGCAGAAATGTTGGAAGTGCAGCGATTTCCAACCGGTGTGCCGCGAATTTTTAAGACGATGCGATACCAGGGGCACTGACCTCTTTCCCCTTAGATGGTTCAGTCTGTGCCATGAGATGGGAAGTTTGAATGTTGCTGTGGTAGGGACTTGCCGATAGAATTAACAGAATAAGGCTTTTGAGAAATAGCTTGTTGAGGCCCACCAAGCTAGTCTGGGGGGCACATGGGAATGGCTTAGACACCAGTATGGGGAAACCCAGTGGCAAGCAGCACAGGTCTGGCCATGCTTTAGGTCATTGCCCTCAGAAGTTAAAGGCATTAATACCAGGATCAAAGGACAGTTAAACCTTTATGATTCTCCAGACCAAGAAAGATCATTCAGGACAGTTTCTGTTCTTGTCTTCGCTGTTCCAGATGAAGATTGCAGGATGGTTCAAGTTGATTCTGCCCGGTGAGCACTCTGGAGTCATGACAGTGATGGACACAACCACCACCGGACCTGGTAGGTTTCTTGAGGCTTGAGAGCTGCCTGGTGGGTCAGGGCTGCATGTTCCCAAGGGCTGTGGCTGGTTGTAGCCATAGGCTCTCCAACTGCATGCGAGAGCAACCCGGAGAGACTTTGACAGCGCAGGTGAGCATCGTACCTGCAGCTGCCACTCGCCTTTCCTATATCTCCGCACCTGGGCTTGGGTCCGTGCAGGTGGATGTGCTGAATCAACTTTGATTTAGAGCTTTCACACCTTTTTCTTGTAGATTGCCTCCCTGTTTCCTGGCAGCGTCTGATAATGACATCACTGCGGATCCCAGCCGGTGCTGCTCCTGTGCTTTGGAATAAGGTAAAGTTAGATGCTGAAAACAGCCTGACCCTCCGGTTCCCTTTCCCATCGGATCTGAACACCGATCTCGGTGGTCGTAGAGGAGGAAGAGTAACAGTGAGGCTGGCCTCATGGTGCTTGTAACCTGTGGGCCAGTTTCAGACAAGGTTGAATTCGCTTTGAACTTTTGTTTCATCCTTTCCTGTGAAATGAGATAAAGGGAGGGAGGATGGATGTGAATCTGGGCAGTTGGTGTACTGTCTTAAAAGTGTTATCTTTCTTTTTAGGTCTGTTACCAGGAAAGTGTCTTCATCTGTAATTAAGGGTCTACAGGGTTGGGTAAGTTGAACACACCTGACATTTACATGTGGCCCGCCTTGTGTGCTGTATTTATTAGCTGTTCATGGCCAGGGAACAAATGTTTACAGAAGAATGATTTGGTCTGTTAGGTTTGCCCACCCGAGTTCAAGAGCACATTGTGCTGTGGGAGTAGAGTGTAGCGGAAGAAACAGCCCTGAGCTTTGGGCAGCAAGAACTGATTGCTGTGAATATTCTCAGATAAACAAGAAGGGCCATCTAGTTGGGTTTTACTTTTAGGGCGACTGGTCTGGGATGAAACCTAATCTGAGTGGACATCTCTGGATGATAAATGCGGATATGGGACTGAGACCAGCTCTTAAGAAAGGGCCTGGGTGGCACCTATTGATTGGGGTAGTACTAACACACTGGCTCACACTTCCTTTACAGGAGAGCGCTACAGTAAGAAGGAAGCTAAAGACAAGTTTGTGAAGGTGACTGGACTGTTCTACTTAAATCCCCTCCACGCTCCGAGGACTGCTGGTTTGCCCGCCCCTTATTGTGGGGCTGGTTCCTTATCCATCCTGCCCTGCAGCATGGGTTGCTTTGTGCTACATCCCTTAATAAATTCCTGATGTAATGAAGTTGTCTGCTTTCTTTCTTTGGGCTCAGCCCCAGGGGATTTTCTAACAGGTTATTTTAGGTGGAAACAGCTGGTCATTTTTTGAATGCTGGTATACAAGACCTGGGAAGTATGTCATTTTCTTTGTCGCTCAAAATTCTGATGTTTTTTTCCTATCTAAATATTAATGACCCAAGTTAATTCAGTCTGACATCAGAAAGGCCAATATGATCCGTCCCATAATTGCAATTAGATATGGTTCTACTTTGCTGATCCTAAATGGGATCTTTGAAGGCTTTTTGTGGTATAGGCACTTTAACTCGAAAGTTTATCTCTCCCCAATTTGCAACCCCCCAAATTACTGTCACAAAACTAAAATCTTAAGATTTCTAGCATAGACCAGACTTCTCAGGTACCACATGACATGAAGTTGGAAAAGGGGCAGACACCACCCCTCCAAAATTTGACTAAGTGGCCACAATTGAAGCTAATGTTGGCAGTGCTTAAATGGCAGACAGGAATGCTCATTTTATAGCAGGTAATCCATATATTCTGATCCCAGAGAACTTAAGGATTTAGATGTCATCTGAGAAAGGTCCCTGGCTATACATATGGTTTGTAATTCCTGTCTGGCTTGGTTGAGTGGCATCCCATGTCACAGGTTCAGTTCCCAGTCAGGGCACATGCTTAGGTTAGGGGTTTAGACCAGGTCAGTGTGAACAGGAGGTAACCAGTTTCTCTCTCTCCCCGCTGTACTAAATTTCAGTGGTAGAGCGTCTGTGGACTGAAAGGTCCCGGGTTTGCGGTCAAGGGCATGTACCTTGGTTGCGGGCACATCCCCAGTAGGGGGTGTGCAAGAGGCAGCTGGTCGATGATTCTCATCTAGCTCTCTATCCCTCTCTCTTCCTCTCTGTGAAAAATCAATAAAAATATATTAAAAAAAAAAAAAAAAGTCCAAACTGTTATCTCCAGGGTACAGATAACTACTGGATAAGTGATCATTGTACGAAGACGTATGGGAACCTGGTTCAACCCTCTTCAGTTGGTCTCTTTGTTTTCCAGCCCAAGTGGCTATATCAAATAAAGGCGGCAGTGTTGCAATAATACTCATAATCTTAGGAAACTTGATTATTAAAATTGTACAAAACATTTCCCAAAAGGTGAAAGTTCTTGAATTGTTTTTAAAGAAGTCTTCTCTCAGTCCTCCATTCTGGCTTGTCCTTTCTTGGCTACATCACAGCGGGGATCTCCGAAGACACCGTGTCCAGGGGCTGCCAGTGGCAGTCCATCAGTGCGTCGTACAGCTCCTCGCTCTGCTCCATGAACTCCTTGTTGGCCTCGGTCACATCCAGCTGTGGCGTGGGGTCTGGAACAGAACCGAGCATGTATTTAGGGAGCACCAACGGGAGAAAGTACTCCGGAGCCACAAGACCATGAGACCAAGACCTCGGTTTCCTAGGGCAAGTTCCCTGTCTGCCAGAGTTCCCTCCTAACTCAGGGGCTGATCAATTGCCTTGCAGGGTTCCTGGGAGACTGAAAACAGGATAATGTAAGGTGTAGTTAATACTCAAATAATAGTCCACATTTATTAAAAGCAACACCTGTATTTGGCTGAAAATCACGTGCTCTGGGTTTTCTGGTGCTGTTATTTCAATTTTGAGTTTGGAAACTGATCCAAATTTACTAAGTCCAAAGCACTAGTCTTAAAAGAGAATATTATATGCCATTGAAGATGAACCTTGCCCTGGCCAATGTGGCTCAGTTGAGTATTGTCTTATGCACAGAAAGGTTGCCAGCTAGATTTCCAGTTAGAGTACCTATCCAGGTTGTGTGTTCAATCCCTGATTAGGGTGCGTATCAGGGTGCATATGGAAGGCAACTGATCGATGTTTCTCACTTCAATGTTTCTAAAATCAGTAAAAAAAAAACACTAAAAGAAAAAAAATAACCTTGGCTGCATACAACGTGAGCCTAAACTTGCATGAGTATTGAAAGAAGACAGTAGTACATTCAGTCTGACTGTATTATACAAAGCCAAAAATGCAAAACAAAACCATATTATTCAGTGATACCTAGGTGATAAAACTATAAAAAGAAGGAAAAAAAATGGTCACTACAAGAAGCTGTGGGTTGTGATTGGGGGAAGAATGGCTTCTGGAGGCTGGTAATATTCTACGTCACTGGAATTCGGGTTTCATGGGCAATTGCTTTATGATTACATGTTAAACTATACATTTGCTTTATGTACTTTTCTTTCTTTCCTTTTTTTTTTTTTTTTTTTTTTGACTTCAGATATTTATTTTACCAACAAGCAAGAGTTAATAAAAAACTGCTGGCTGGAAAGACTTATTTTAAAAGGCAAAAGATTTATGCGCTCTGAAGAGAAACCAGAGCATGGAAAGACTTATTTTAATGCTATTGTTATAATACAATAACAAGATGATGGAAGATTTCACTTAAGTGTATAGTAAGAGGGAGTAGTGAGCACACATTCAATTGGAGAGTACGGTAATAGAAAATTTCTTCACCTGTTCATTGAAGGAATATAACTTTCATGTACCTATTTTCTGTAAGTTCTTTCCAGCATTGTTTACTTTTCCTCAGATACATATTATGCTTTTAACATTTATTAGCATTCATTCATTCATTCAGTCAGCATTCACTTAGGTATGTATGAAGCATCAAACATGCACTAGAGTCTATACACAGCAAGAAGTAAATAGAATGATTACATGAAAACTGTACTGAGTGTGGTGAAACAAATTTTGATTATCTCTTTAGAGGTGGTTGTAATCTGTCAGAAGAGTCTACACTCTCTCTATAGGATGATTATACTTTTTTGCTTCATAAAAAATAAGCTTTAAATAAAAAGACGAGAGATGTATATTCTATTTTTGCCACAATATTTCTGAGTGTTCTTAGATAAGTTGCTTTATGTACTTTTCTTTTTTTAAAACTATGTTTTTATTGGTTTTAGAGAGGAAGGGAGAGGGAGAGAGAGAAACATTGATTAGTTGCCTCCTGTACGAGGCACCCCGACGGAACCAAACCCAAAACCTGGGCATGTGCCCTGACCAAGAATTGAACCAGCAACCTTTTGGGGCACAGGACGATGCTCAACCAAACGAGCCACAGCGGCCAGGGCTGCTTTATGTACTCTTCCCTGTATGTGTTATCTTTCACAATAAAGTTCAAAATAATATTTATTTACTATAATAACATTTTATATTTTTAATCTGCGTTGGTTTAAAATGCACACACACATTAATTAAAACACATTTAAAAACTAACTGGAAAATTAAAAAAATACCTAATAAACAAAGACATCTCACGTACTTGGATTGAAAGATGATTTTATAAAGATGGAAAAAATTCTCCAAATTGATCTATAGCTGCAGCTATTTTTTGTCTGTTTTGCAGAAAATGACAAACTGATCATAAAATTTCTATGGAAATGAAAGGAATCCAGACTAGCCAAAACAATCTTTAAAAAGAAAAAAGTTCAAGGACTTATTCTTCCCCATTTCAAAACTTACTGCAAAGCTACAGTAAGAAAGACCAGCAGTAGTTTAAGGATAAATATATGGATCAATTGACCAGGGTTAAGAGCCCCAAACTAAACCTATACATTTATAGTAAACTGCTTTTCAACAAGAGTACCAAAAACAATTCAAAGGGTAAAGAACAGTTTTCAACAAATGGTGCTGGGTCACCTATAATTATACAGGCTGGGGCAAAAGTAGGTTTAGAGTTGTGAGTATGCAAAAGTTTATTCTTATTATTTTTTGTATTGTTATTTTTTGTTACTATTTTTTGAAAGAATACTATTTTTTGATATTTAGAGAGAGGAAGGGAGAGAAACATTGATTGGCTGTCTCTTGCAAGCCCCGCACTGGGGGGTCAAGCCCACGTGGGCATGTGCCCTTACCTGGAATCAAACCTGCAACCCACAGGACAACCCCCCAACCTACTGAGCCACACTGGCCAGGGCTTGTATTCTTATTTATTAACTGTTGTATTGCTTCCCATATGAACAACTGTAAGCCTATATTTGCCTCATCCTCTATAAGGTGACTTAACTAGATTTAGTGCAGTAATAATTTTGCAATGTATCAAAATTGAATCACACATCTAAAACATACATTTTGTTTAACAAATCATGTATTGGATATTTATCTATACTGACGATTATCATTGGGGACAAAATCTTTCAAGTAGGAGAATCCAAGATGGCTGCCCAGGTAGACACCTAACCACAGCCGCACACAATTTCAATAAAATACAACTAAAATATAAAATGGACATTACCCAGAACTACAGGAAAGTCGACTGACTGGAAATCCTACAACAAGGAGGAGAAAGCCAGAAGGAAGCGCGGAGGAGCTGTAAAAGCCTAAGGTACGGAGACAGGTGCACGTGCAAAGAGGGCGGAGCCAGAGAGGGGGGAGGCTGAGTGCCTGGCTGGCGTTCCCAAGTGGGAAGGAGATAAAATTCCGACTGTGTTGAACCCCAGATCCGACAGCGCTGAACCCCAGTTCTAGGCCAGACCCCGGGGACCCAGGCTCAAACAGAGGGAGCTGGGCTGTAAGGCGGAACCCGGGGAGCGGCGAAAGGAAGTCCCGGAGGGGTGCACATTGTGCGCAGAGAAGGGACGGTTGGCTGTGCCCCGGGTTTGCCCTGGCGGGAAGGAGACTGGGGCTCCGGACTGCTCTGTCTGAAATAAAAAATATTATACAGAGTTCTAAAAACAGAATGGAAGATCGCAAGAATCAAGTCAAAGATTTGGAACATAAAGAGCCAGAAGACACTCCTCCACAGAAGCTAGAAGGCAAGAGAATCCAGAAAATTGAAGATAAGGTAAGAAACCTCTGGGACAACTTCAAGTGAACCAACATCAGAATTATGGGGGTCTCAGAAGATGAGAGAGAGCAAGATATCGAAAACATACTGAAAGAAATAGTGACAGAAAACTTCCCCCACCTGGTGAAAGAATTAGACTTACAAGTCAAGGAAGCGCACAGAACTCCAAACAAAAGGAATCCAAAGAGGACCACACCAAGACAAATCATAATTAAAATTCCAAGAGCAAAAGACAGAGAGAATATTAAAAGCAGCAAGAGCAAAGCAGGTAGTTACCTATAAAGGAGCACCTATATGATTCTCAGCTGATTTCTCAACAGAAACCATGCAGGCCAGACGGGAATGGCAAGAAATATTCAAGGTGATGGATAGTAAGAACCTACAGTCAAAGATAATCTACCCAGCAAAGCTATCACTCAGAATCGAAGGCCAGATAAAGAGCTTCACTAATAAAAAAAAGCTAAAGGAGTTCATCAACACCAAACCAGAATTATATGAATTACTGAAGGGGGTTCTTTCAGAAGAGAAAGTAAATAAAGGTAAAAACTATGAACAACAAATACGTAACTATCAACAAGTGAATCTAAAAACCAAGGAAATTAAAAAAAAAATCTGATGAACAATATTAACTGTTGAATATAACAGAATCAGAGGTATGGAAGGGGAGTGAACTGACAATTCTTGGGGAAAAGGGAAGAGGGGGATGTGGGAAAAGACTGAACATAAACTGTGCACCTATGGATGAGGACAATGGGGGGTGGGGAAAGGGCAGAGGGTGGGGTGGGAACCTGGTGGAGGAGAGCAATGGTGGGGGGGGGGAGGAACATTTGTAATAATATGAACAATAAATATTCATTTAAAAAATTTTTTTCAAGTAAGATTACTGATTTAAAGCATATAAACATAGTAAGAACTTTTATAGAAACATGGTATATTCTAATTTGTATTTATTAACAGTGTGATAGTTGAATTTTACATGTAAACCTGGCTAGGCTATGATGCCCAATTGTTTGGTCTAATGTTGCTATGATGTTATTTTGTAGATGTGATTAACATCTGCAATCAGTGACTTTTTTTTTTTTTAAAGTTTTGCTTCTGACCTTATTTATTTGTTATTGATTGATTAAAATATTTTTAATTGATTTTTAGAGAGAGGAAGGAAGGATAGAGAGAGAAACATCGATAGAAGAGGGAAGCATTGATCAGCTGCCTCCTCCATGCCTCCCACCAGGAATCAAACCAGCATCCTTTTGGTGCATAGGACGATGCCCCACCACCTGAGCCACACTGGCCAGGGCCACTCATTGATTCTTGTATGTGCCCTGACCAGGGATTAAACCTGCATAACAAGACGCTGATCTAACCATCTTAGTTACCTGGCCTAGGCTGACACACACTCTTCTTACTGCAGTTATGTATACACCGGCTCCCTCATTAGAATAAACATTCCTCTAGGCAGGACTCACCACGCATTCCTTCAGCATCTAGCTTTGTGGCTGGCACAGTGCCAGCCACAAAGCAATCATTTCATTATGGCTGACAGAGGGAATGAGTGATGGGCTCCTTTCTTACCTTCCAAAGCATCATCTCCAACTTCTTCATATGTCTGTCAAGAGACAGAGAGGCTGGGTGAGGATCCTGGCCATAACAAGGATGGCTTATTTTTAACAAGAGCAGCTAGGTGGCTCCATCCCCCGCCACCCCACCCCCAGCTTTTTTTTCCCCCTGAAGCCCAAGCCCCCGTCCTTATCCATCCCATCCTGGAGAATGACCCAGGTCTCTAAAGGGTGAGAGCAGACTTGCCAAATCATGGTTACCTGCATGGTGCTCTGGGTATAGCCGTACTGGGGGTAACTGTAGCTGTAGCTGCCTGTATTCTGGTCATAGCCCCACTGAGCATAGTAGTTCTGGTACTGCTGGTAATACTGGTTGTAGCTGTAACTGTACATCTGACTGTATTCCACGGGCTTCACACGACTACTGTGAAGAAAGAACCAAAAATAAACAAATGTGAGCAAACATTCCTGTCTAACATTCACTAACTGAACAAGGACTTTTCTAAGCACTTTCACAGATTAACTTCATTTAATCTCCACCACAATCTCTTGCAAAAGTATACATTATTCCTATTTTTTTAAAAAATATATTTTATTGATTTTGTACAGAGAGGAAGGGAGAGAGATAGAGGGTTAGAAACATCGATGAGAGAGAGTCATCGATCAGCTGCCTCTTGCACACCCCCTACTGGGGATATGCCCGCAACCAAGGTACATGCCCTTGACCGGAATCGAACCTGGGACCCTTCAGTCCCCAAGCCGACGCTCTATCCATTGAGCCAAACCAGTCCCGGCCATTATTCCTATTTTACACATGAGGAAACTGAGGTACACAGAGGTTGCAATAATTTGACCGAGGCCACACAGTTAAGTGATTCAAGCCAGGCAGTCTGGCTCCACAGCCCATGCTCTGAACATAGGAGTTTTCAATGGTTACGTTCCTCTCTGTTACCAAACTTTGTCAGTACTGGCTTTCTCCTCCTCTTAAGATCTTGTGGGGGTCTGCTTTTTACCACCCATAAAAACTCGGGTAAACATGGCTAAAGAATCTAGATCGAGGATGACCCAAAAAGCTTTCAAACTTCAAAATATCTAATCACCTCTTCCCCACAAAAGATTAAGAGAAGTGCTCCAGTGGCCTTATCGTCATCACTGTAGTCACAGCTGCCATTTGTGGAGCAGGCACTCAAGAGCTGTGCCCATTACTTTTCATAGTTGGTCTCCTGTTTTAGGTCCTGCACAATCCTCTGACAGAGCGATTAAGTATTATTCCCCTTACACAGATGAGACTACCGAGTCTGAAAACCATGCCCACAACTGGAGCTGAACGGAACTCCAAGGTCCATGCTAACGCCACACCATTGCATACAGCAGCTGGCCTACATCCTGCATTTGCCAGTCAGGGCTGAGGCCCAGGGTCAGCAGAAAGCTTTCTTACTCTGATTGTACAGTTGCCCCAGCTGCTAACCAAAGACAATGTCAAGTCTGCAAAGGACCCATTGCTCTCAAAACATAAAGTACATGGGAGTAGGTTTCTGAAAAAGGCATGAGGTGTGGCCAGCAGTCCCAGCTGACAGGCATGAAAGAACATAACTGAAGACATGATAATGTTCCTCCAGAGTCACTGTACTCGATGGGCCTGAGCCTGCCATGGGTGCACACCAACACGCGCAGGAGTCAAAGGCTGGCTTATGAGGAAAATATAACAGTCACAAAGTGTGGGACGTGGGATGTGGGATGTGGGACCTCCTCGTGGTTGGCGCATTCTTTCTCGGAGTGAAACTGAAGAAGAAACCAAGTCATAAGCAGGAGTTGAGCCACCATAGAAATCCCCATCACAGGAACCACAAAATGCTCAAGTCTGAATGAGCCCTTCCCAAGTTCCCGGCAAGTGGTGAGCAGGACTCAGCCAGAGCAGCTTGAGTCCACTCCTGACGGGGTGTCTCGATGATGTCAAACAGCATGGACTTCCTCTCCCCGCCCAGGGCCAGGCGAAAACTCCGTAACTCCCTTCCATGGGTGCTGCCACGGTCCACACCCTCCTGCAGGTTCCGGTTCCTGAGGTGCAGTCTCTCCACACTCACTCAGTCTTACAGGCGAGCTCTCAAAGGGAACTCTCATCTCCCTCAGTTCCTACTGCTTGAGGACCTCTCCCTAGAAACAGGCACTAAATACTGACAGCAACATTCAGTGAAGAACAGGATATAACAATACACCCTCTCTGCAGAAGGGGCTTCATCAGAATATACAATCAAAAGAATTACCTGCAGTTAAAAATATGATGATTAGGCAACTGCTAGTATATGGAAAAGTGAATGTGTATACTGAGTAAACTAGGGGAAAAGAGCACTGTTATTGTGAAATGAACAAAGAAATAAATCTACAGTATGTAAACTGACTCACATGTAGTGTGCATATGTATATGTGTATGTCATGGATAGGTATGGAGGAGCCTGGAAACAAACTCAGAAATTATAATTAGTCATTTTAGAGTAATGAGGAAATTTCTTTCTTTTAAATAGCTTCTTTAATGTTTTTATATTTACAATAGAGTTTAGAAAAAATAACACTTTGGGGGAGAAATCACTCAAGTTGATCTTCTCTGTATTAAAAATAGAACAAGCCATAAGGAACCTCCAAATCTTTTGCTGCTTTAAAAAAACAAATCATCATGCCCTTACCAGTTTGACTCAGTGGATAGAGCGTCGGCCTGTGGACTCAGGGGTCCCAGGTTCAATTCCGGTCAAGGGCACGTACCTTGGTTGCAGGCAAATCCCCAGTGGGAAGTGTGTAGGAGGCAGTTGGTCGATGTTTCTCTTGAATTGATGTTTCTAACTCTCTGTCCCTGTCCCTTCCTCCCTATAAAAAGTCAATAAAATATGTTAACACACACACACACACACACACACACACACACAAACACACACACAAATACCACGATCATTTGGAAGTTCCACCCTAAAGAAGCAGCCAATCTCGTACTTTAGAAAGTTTCTCAGTCTTGGCACGACTGACTTTTGGCAGAGGGAGGAGAGCAGGTAAGTGCTTGTTGGGGGGTTGTCCTGTGCATCATTGGATGTTTAGAGCACCTATTCATTAGATGCCAGCAGTACCCTCTCTGAGTTGTAACAGTTAAAGTTGCCTCCAGATGTTGCCAATGGCCTCTGGGGGACAAAAATTGCCCCTTAATAGACAATTACTGCTTTGGCCAAAGGATGGAAGATTCTATGCAGATAAAGCTGCCTTACATCTGAGTGAGACACCTGCTTGGAGTTGTCTTTCTGCCTGGCATGACAGGTACAATAGTGACGTATACACTGGGCTATATTGTGTTTGGAGCACTAATCCTCAGCCATTTCCACAGCATGGGACAGCCACAGGTTTGTAGGTTTCATTGATATAAATAAGCTTAAAATTGGGTGTAAATTTTTCCTTCTGTTCAATTCTTTTTTTAAAAAAATATATTTTATTGATTTTACACAGAGAAGAATTGAGAGGGATAGAGAGTTAGAAATGTCGATGAGAGAGAAACATCGACCAGCTGCCTCCTGCACACCCCCACTGGGGATGTACCCGCAATCAATGTACATGCCCTTGACCGGAATCGAACCCGGGACCCTTCAGTCCCCAGGTCGACGCTCTTCCACTGAGCCAAACCGGCTTCGGCTCTGTTCAATTCTTAATCTTTGGATCAATGTCTAACAGTGGCACTACTGGGCAAAGAGCGGGGGCATTATGTATGTGGTACCAAACTATTCTCCAGCACTGCTATCAGCGATGTCTGAATGTTTCTGTCTTCCCAGTCATAGCTCTTCCCCAACCATAAGCTCTGGAGGATTATGCTCATTCATCTCCAACACCCAGCACACAGCCTGGTGAGCATCAAGCATTCCTTATTCGTGAGCAGAATGAATCTCTCTGAAGCCTCCCATCCGGCATGTGATGACCAACAACAGGTGAGGAGCATCAGGTGGGGTCGGTGCAGAGCCCTCTACCTTCCCCGTCGGTGCGGGACTCACGCTTTCGGGATTGCCACGCTCAGCCGCACTGGTTTAGATCCCAGTCCTACTGCTCCCTGGCACTCCGTCAGGGCTCGCTTCTGTTCCAGCTCATCTGTGAATTTCACAAAACCATAGCCCCTGCAGGAAAAACAACACACACACGATATACAGATCACAAGTGGGATGAAGGTACAGTCTAAGGATGGAAAAGGGGCTGAAAGGGGTGGATAGAACCCGTCAAACTATATGGCACCCATTGGGAGGCGTGTCGCAGAGCAATGAGAGACAAGCACGGGAGGATCCCGAGATCTAGAGGAGTCCCCACTTCCAGTTCACGTTCTCTCTCTACTTTCACTGATGAGTCTCCTTCCCTCCCAATCTACTAGGAAATATTACGGTAACAGCAGTAGTAATAGCTTCTTCAGCAAATATTTACTGAGTTTGTCTGTATGCACTAGGTCTTGGTAGTCATAAGCAGACAAGGTTCTTTTTTTTTTTTTTTTTTTTTAATTTTAGAGAGTTTATCTGAGCCAAACTGTCGACATATGCCGGAAGCAGTACCTCAATGAATTGATATAAAGCTCCAAAGAATGGTGGGTTACATTTCTATTTATACATTGGAATCAAAGGAGGGACATAGGTGGGTTACAGGAAATTCATTGGTGACGGATTAAGGAGTCAGGATAAAGCAAAGCGGTGGGAAACCCTAGGATTGAATAAAAAGTAACATGATGACGCTTACATAGGTGAGTGCAGGACAATTAACATGATAAAGAAGGAATTTAAAGCATCCAGACAAGGTTCTTGATCTCCTGAACTCACATTCTCCAAGGGGGAATAGATGAACAATAGCTAATATCTAATGAACGCTCTCTCCCAGACACTGTGCTGAGCATATTTCCAGGATTATCTCACTGACAGTCCAACAATTTGATGTAGTATCCACATTTACTGGAGAGGGAACCAAAATCCAGAAAGGTTTACCAATCTGCCCAAAGTCATAGTAGAAACAGGATTCAAATCCAAGTCTCTCAGACTCCGAAGAATGAGTGTTTTTTGAGGTTTTTCCACTTTTAAAGTAAAAATAATAAAATACAAACACCTATACAGCATTTCCTACTGCTTTAGTTACATTACATCATTTAATCCTTACATTGCCCCTGTGCGCAGATACTATGAATCAGTCCTGTTTCAGAGAGGAAATGGGGCCAGAGGTTTGGTAACCCATCTCCTTATGCCTGGCCGGTACTGGAGCCAGAATCCCAACCCTGGCAGTTTGGCTCCAGAACCTGTGCGCTAACTACCACCCGCATGGCCATTCTAGAACGCCTGAACCAACGAGAAGAATGCTGAAACCAACAGTGAGCACCAGTAACACGGAAGCCGTACTTGGACACGCCTGTCTGGTCCAAAACCACCTTGCCGCCCCGGCAGGAGGGGTAGACTTTGACGAAGAATTCGTACAGCATGCCGTCATCCACGTCCGGGGTCAGGTCCCCCACAAAGAGCGAGTACTCAGGGCTGAGAGGAGAGAACGGGATTCAGAGACAAAGACCTTTGTTCTGACAACTTCCTTCGGCCCATCCTAGGTAAACCTTTCTGAGCCTTTTCAGGGCATGACACCCCTGGTGCATCCTTAACCAGGTCCTAGTTTGTCCCACGTGGCAGTCCCGGCAGAAGGAGTACAGAGGTAGTCCCTGCTCCACCCATGTCCTCCATCCAGAGCACCCACTGCACAAAGCCTGTCTGGCCTCAAGGATTACAGGAGTGCAGATGGAGGCTGAGGTCAGAGGTACTCAAAATATAAAACTAGATGCTCTGCAGTCATTGCATTTTAAAAAATCCTTACCTGAGGATATGTTTCCATTGCTTTTAGATAAGAATGGAAGGAAGGTATGGGGAGAGAAAGAACCATCAATGTGAGACACACCCATTGGTTGCCTCCCGCACACACCGCAAGCAGGTGCGTGCCCTTGACCAGTAAGCGAACCCGAGGTCCTTCAGTGTGAGGGCCAACACTCTAACAACTGAACCAAACCAGCCAGGGGTCACTGCATACTTATCATTTAAATGGTGAAACAGAGAGAATGAAAACTGGGTATTATCTACTAAACACCTTAAAACCTAGCTCAATGCAATCTCCCAAATTTTAGAATAAGAGTGATCAAACTTTTTCTGTAGATCACTTTTTTTCCTTCTAAATAATATTTTTTCATTTTTAACTTAGCCAACATCTTGACATTCATGATTCTGCTACAACATGACTTATTAATGGATATATCACACTTCCATTAATGAATGTATTGTAATTTAAACCACTTCCCTATTATTAGATTTGGTTTCCCCCCCAATTTTGCCCACTATATATAATATTTCAATGAATACCTTTGAGGATAATCTTACCCACACGATGAATAAATTCTGAGAAGCAGAATTATGGAGGTCAGTGGGTACAAATCTTTCTAACCATTCTGATACACTGTTTCAAAGTTTTCACACAGCAACCTGAAAGCTGAACCAAATTATACTGCTATATGCCCGGCTGGTGTGGCTCAGCGTTGAGCATCGGAGACCCAGGAACCAAGAGGCCGCCAGCTGGATTCCCAGTGAGAGCACGTGCCAGGTTGTGGGCTCCTTCCCCAGTGGGGGCTGTGCAGGAGGCAGCCAATCGATGACTTCCTCTCTCAACGATGTTTCAATCTCTCTATCCCCCTCCCTTCCTCTCTCTAAAAAAACAATTAAAAAATATTTCTTAAAAATAATATTTCTACAACATTATTATGGACTAAAACCTTAACACTATGGGAAATAATGGGGTGGAAGGCTAGAAAGGGACCAAAGAGAGAAGACACAGGCCTCAACATGAAGCATAACCTAAGGTGCCCTCCTTCAGGAGGGGGGCAAAGGGGAGCCCAACTCAACCCCATCCTCCTCTGGGTAGTGACCTGCACAGTGGCACATCTTGTCTCTCTCTAGACATTCCCTGGGGCTTGAAGCTAGGTCGGGGCTACTCTGTACTTACCTGTTATCTGGCTGTTTCCCGTAAGTAGCATAGTTCAGTTTAAAACGTTTTGCCTGGAAATTTAAAAACAAACAAACTAAAACAGAGAAAGGTGTTTTAAGAGCCAAACAATATTTGAAAAGAACTGAAATAAATTACCTTGCCAAAACATCTCCCCCTCTCTAAGCCTCAGCTCTTTCTCCTGTATAAAGGGAGGGGGTTGCACGGATGACCGCTAGGGGCACTGCCAGCTCCATGGTTCTATGAGCCCCGTGTGCCAGCTTGGTGCAGCTGGAAGCTAAGTAACTGTGGGAAGAGCAAAATGTAACTCTCTTGAAATGTGTCCTCACTACTGCCAGCCTGTTCTACTTTCTCACTCAGGCAAGAGGTCCAGTTTCAAGTCTTCCATGAAGAGAGGCAGAGGTGCAGAGTGGAAAGGGAATGGATTTCAGGGTCAAGCAATCTTCATTTTGCATCCTGGCATTGCCACTCGCTACCTGTTTTGCCATGGGCAACTTTATCGCACTTCCCTGAGCTTCAGTTTCCCAGGCTGTCACAGATAATAATGCCTACTCTTCAGGGTTGTTACAGGATCAAATAAAATCATATAAATATATAGTAGGGATTCAATAAATGACGGTTACTGGTAACAATAAAAATGGCAACATCATCATTATCTAAGTGTCCTTACAGGTGTGGCTCCTGGAAGGGGTTTCCCATTAATTTTATGCAAACACTTCTCGGCTGTGGCCAAATCTGCGAATTCTACAAAACAGTAACCAGCTGGAATCCTGGAAAGAACGAAAACAGAGAGAATGGTTCAAGATGCGGTTCCCAGCCCTAACTGGTTTGGCTCAGTGGATATAGCGTCAGCCTGAGGACTGAAAGGTCCCAGGTTCGATTCCGCTCAAGGGCATGTGCCTTGGTTGCGGTCACATCCCTAGTGGGGGGTGTGCAGAAGGGAGCTGATGGATGTTTCTCTCTCATCGATGTTTCTAATTCTCTATCCCTCTCCTTAAAAAAATTAATAAAAATATTTAAAAAAAATATTTTAGGCTTTGTAGGCCATACTTATTGCATATCCTTTTTTATTTTATTTAACAACCCTTTAAGAGGATAAAAGTTGTTTTTAGCTCAAGAACAGACTTCAGGCTGGATCTAGTTTCACTTAGCGATACTAAAGCTCCCACATAAAATTGCTTAATCAATCCCCGGTCGAAAGACGCACAGGTTATTTCCTCTTTTTGTTATTACAGATAATGCTGTGATCTACTAAGCCAAACCGGCCAGAGCTTAAAACGTTTTTGCTTTTTTCTTCAATATGTTTTACTGATTTAAAAAAAATATATATATTTTATAGATTTTTTACAGAGAGGAAGGGAGAAGGACAGAAAGTTAGAAACATTGATGAGAGAGAGTCATCGATCAGCTGCCCCTTGCACGCCCCCCACTGGGGGATGCGTCCGCAACCAAAGTACATGCCCTTGACCGGAATTGAACACGGGACCCTTCAGTCCACAGGCTGATGCTCTATCCACTGAGCCAAACCGGTATCGGCTGTTTTACTGATTTTTAAAAAAATATATATTTTATAGATTTTTTACAGAGAGGGAGAAAGTTAGAGTTAGACACATTGATGAGCTGCCTCCTGCTCATCTCCCACAGGGGATATGCCCACAGTCAAAGTACATGTCCTTGACCGGAATCGAACCCGGGACCCTTGAGTCCACAGGCCGATGCTCTATCCACTGAGCAAAACCTGCCAGGGCATTACACCCATTTAGACCAAAACCTGCCAGGGCATTACACCCAAGCAGACAGACTTAACAGATCATACAATATGTTGTAAAACACCCAGCTGGTATGTGCCAAAGGTTGGGTTTGAATTCAGGATAGTGTGATTATATCCTTTACCCAACATTACTACACTTGATCTTAGCCAAAAGGCCGAGAAGAGATACCCCAACATTATATTATGACAAATTTCCAACATAAAAACTGAAATAACTTTATAGCAATCACCCACACATCAATCACCTGCAATGAATATTTTATTATACTATTTTATCCAACTATCCATTCTTCTACCCATGTATCATTCTTATTTTCTTGATACATTTCAAAGTAAGTTGCAGATATTGGTGTACTTGCCTCAATGACTTTAACATGCATGTTACCTAGAGTTCAATTATCATTTACAGTTTTCTCTCTTGGTTTATATGCAATGAAGTGCACAAATCTTCCAGATCCTGAGTTATTTCTACCACAGATGAATTTTGTATATTCTAGAATTTTCAATTAGTGGAATCATATAGTAAGGCTTCTTTCATATAGCATAATGCCTTTGAGATTCATTCATGTTGTCACTATGGAGTAGTTTGTTCCTTTGTTAAAAAAAATAAAATTTGGCCGAAACCCGTTTGGCTCAATGGATAGAGCGTCGGCTTGGGGACTGAAGGGTTCCGAGTTAGATTCCGGTCAAGGGCATGTACCTTGGTTGCGGGCATATCCCCAGTAGGGGGTGTGCAAGAGGCACTGATCAATGACTCCCATCGATGTTTCTAACTATTTCTCTCCCTTCCTCTCTGTACAAAATCAATAAAATATATTAAAAAATAAATAAATAAAAATAAAATAAAATTTGAAGGATATGCTTTTATTGATTTTCAGAGAGAGGAAGGAGTGGGGCATACTGAGAGAAACATCAATGTGAGAGATATAACCTGTAACCCGGTATGTGCCCTGATCAGGAATAGTTCCTGAGACCCTGTCTATGCAGATGCTCTAACTAGTGAGCACACCAGCCAGGCCTTTTTTTATTTTTTATTTAAAGAATTGTGGTTAAATATACGTAACATGCCCTAGCTTGTTTGGCTCAGTAGATAGAGCATTGGCCTCTGGACTAAAGGATCCCAGATTCGATTCCAGTCAATGGCACATGCCCGGGCTGCATGCTCTATCCCCAGTAGGCAGCCAATCAATGATTCTCTCTCATGATTGATGTTTTTATCTCTCCCTCTTCCTTCTTCTCTGAAATCAATAAAAGCATATTTAAAAGTAAATGTAAACATATATAACAAAATTTTAAGTATGTATTTTTGTGGAGTTAAGTACAATTTGTGCAACCACTGACTGCATTATTTTTAAAGCATATTATTTTTCCTTGGGTCTTATCTTTTTGCCTTATTTTCTCTGGTCTTGGGTTTTATTTTTATTTTTTAATATATTTTATTGATTTTTTACAGAGAGGAAGAGAGAGGGACAGAGAGTTAGAAACATCGATGAGAGAAAAACATCAACCAGCTGCCTCTTGCACACCCCCTAATGGGGATATTCCCGCAACCAATGTACATGCCCTTGACCAGAATCGAACCTGGGACCCTTCAGTCTGCAGGCCGACACTCTATCCACTGAGCCAAACCGGTTTCGGCTGGTCTTGGTTTTTAAATTTACATTTATTTTTTTCTATAGTACTCTTGTAAAGCCACTAAAAGCCTTTGTCAAATGAGGCAGGATATCAATGCAATGTGTCTGTAAGTACCACCATAAGAAACAGCAGAGTTTAGTAACCATGGGTAGAAGAGTAGTTCCAAATCCTATTTCAATAAAGATTAAAATGTGAGAATCTATGTCAGTATTTTATTTTTATTTATTTATTTATTTATTTAATTATTATCTGTGTATATATTTTAACATTGCCCCCCCCCCCCCCCCCCCCCGCCAATACAGACTCTCCCTCCCCAGAGTTTTGTGTCCATTGGTTGTACTTATATGCATGTATACAAGTCCTTCGGTTGATCTCATATCACCCAAAGATCTCCCTACCCTCACCGATTTGACAGTCTGCTTACTGCTTTACTGTCTTTATATCTGTCTTTTGGTTCATCAGTTTATAATGTACTTTAATATCCATAGCTGAGTGAGGTTATGTGGTATTTCTCTTTCATTGACTGGCTTATTTCACTCAGCATGATGTTCTCCAATTCCATCCAGGTTGCTGCAAATGATGAGAATTCCTTCTTTTTTATGGCAGCATAGTATTCTATTGCGTAGATGTACCATAGTTTTTTGATCCAATCATCTGCTGATGGGCACTTAGGCTGTTTCCAGATTCTAGCTATTGTAGATTGTTCTGCTATGAACTCTATGTCAGTATTTTATTTTATTTTATTTTATTTTATTTTATTATTTTTTTTTTTTATATATTTTTTTTATTGATATTTTACAAAGAGGAGGAAGGGAGAGAGATAGAGAGTTAGAAACATCGATGACAGAGACACATCGACCAGCTGCCTCTTGCACACTCCCTACCAGGGATGTGCCCGCAACCAATGTACATGCCCTTGACCGGAATCGAACCTGGGACCCCTCAGTCCGCAGACCGACGCTCTACCACTGAGCCAAACCGGTTTCGGCTCTATGTCAGTATTTTAAATGGTAGAAGGTATTACAGAATGAATTTTCCTACTAGGCTCACATTCTGTCTATAGGAGCAAGAAAAATAGTTAGGCCACTATACTCAATAACTATCGACAACTTAATAAAGGAATCCTCTCATTTCTAACTAGAACCTAAAGAAAACCAAGACACACACACACACCCCCCTCCACCCCACCAAAGAGAAAAAAGTAACTGGGGGCAATAGCACACGACTATCGAAAACATTCTCTGCATTGTTTTGTTTACACGACTTATTGCCTCCTTCCCCCATTAGGCCGTAGTAAACTCCATGAGAGGAGGGACTGTGTCTGGCTTGTTTCATGGGAAGCTAGGACAGTAGTACAGAGTAGTGTCGCTATAAATGAGATTTTAAATGATAGCATTAAAGTTAAGGGCACTCGCAGAACTGAATTTGAGTCCTGGCTTGTCATTTAATAACGGCGACTTTAAGACAGTTATCAAGCTTCCCTAATAACAGTACTTCACTCCGAAATTTTTGTGATTTTAAATTATTTATTACCTAACAGATAATAATCTGCTTATGTTTATATAATCTGCACATATTATATGCCAGACACTATTCTAAATGCTGAATGTGAATTAACTCATTTAATCCTCACCTTAACTCTATCATCTCCATTTTTATAGTCAAAGTTAAGGAGATGGAGAGGTAAGGTAACTTACCAAAGGTCACACAGCAGACACAGCTTTCAAACAGACGGGGTCTGGAATGAATATGCTTTACTTCCTCTCAATTAAGGCCCCAATGCTAGCCTTTATAACATAACTAGAGGCCTGACGCACGAAATTCATGCACTCGAAGGGTTCCTCAGCCTGGCCTGTGCCCTCCTGCAGTCTGGGAGCTCTGGGGGTAGGGGGTGGTGGTTGAGGGGGACATCCTTAGGGCTGCTGCAGGCTACCCATCACTAACCCTGTGCTCGCCCTGAGAGTCTGGCTTCTGGCTGGCTGAGCAGTCCTCTCCCCCTGTGGGATCGCACTGATCACCAGGGGCAGCTCCTGCGTTGAGTGTGTGCCCCCTGGTGGTCAGTGTGCATCATAGTAACTGTTCATTCTGCCATTCGGTTATTTGCATATTAGCCTTTTTTTTTTAAAATATATTTTTTATTTCAGAGAGGAAGGGAAAGTAAGAGATAGATGGAAACATCAATGATGAGAGAGAATCATTGATCAGCTGGCTCCTGTATATTCCTCCTCACTGGGGCTCAGGCATTGTGCCCTTGACCAGATTCGAACCCGGGATTCTTCAGTCCACAAGCTGACACTCTATCCACTGAGCCAAACCAGGTGGGGCTAGCCTTTTATTATATAGGATAACTATAATTATGGTGAGAAGCCCAGACTTTCTGCGATGTTTATATTTACCCAAATGACACTTGCCGCATATTAAGGGAGAGCTAACCGAGCAGGTGGAAGGAAAGAACGTACCCAGTGAGGCGGTTCCGGATAATTTTGACGCTCATCACGGTCTCCCCCATGGTGGCAAAGGCTCTGGAGATGAAGTTCTCATCCATGTAGGGCTCCAGCTGCGCAAATGCAAGGGCAGAGCGACTCAGGCCAGAGGCAGCCCCCACCCCTCAGCTCTGGGCTGGCTACATGCTGTGTGCGTGTGTGTGTGTGCGTGTGTGTGTGACAGGTTCTCACCGGCAGAGCGGGCTGAGCTGCACTTCCCTCCCCTGCCATTAAACCCGCACCCTCGGGAGCCTCCCCCGTGGACTCAGAAACCCGCTCCTGCAGCCTTAAACCCGGAGCCCTGCCGGGCCGGCGGCGGTTCCACTCCCCATCAGGAGCGTGTGCTTGGGCTGCGGGTTCCTTCCCGCCCTCCGCCCCCCACATGGCGCCTGGGGGAGGCAACCCATCGACTCCCTCTAGCTCTCCCCTACCTTCCCTCCACTCTAAAAACCAATGGAAAACATACCCCCCGATGAGGATTAACAACAATAAAAAGACCTTAAACAAACAAAACCAAAGAGCCCTTCAAAAGCCTCGGGGTCCCCCCTTGTCAGTCCCCAAAGCACCTCCCTTTCGACTCCACGACTCGCGGCGAGGCCCGAGGACTCCTCCCCCCGAACTCGGGCCCACCCCTGGCCGCTGGGACCCGCTCCGGGGTCACCAGGACTCCCCTTCCTAAGCCCTTCCATCGCTTTGGGGTCCGAGGGCCCCGCCCCTCAGGCCCTTCCTCCCGCTGACACTAAGGTTCCTCCTCGTGGGCCGCGGGAGCCGCCCTCACTCACGTCGCCCATCCACAGGCTGGCCGCCATGGCCCCGGTCGGGCCGGGCTTGGGCGGCGCCGCGCCGGCGCGAGTCCCCCGGCGGGACCGCCACGGAGCATGCGCTGACGGCGCCTAGTGCGCACGCGCCTCAGCGCCGCCGGCGGCGCGGCCCGGGCGGCTTCGGGGTTTTTCGGAGACTCAGGGCGCCAGCTTCCGGGTCCCTTCGGGCCAATTCGGAGCCGAGGCCGCCGAGCGGGGCCGGGCGGACTTCACCCTGCGCAGGATGGTGGCTTGCTGGGGTAACAGGCTTTCTCGGGTTTCTTTCTCACTTTTATATATTTAAACAGACGTACAAATAACATTTCAAAAGTAATAAACCCTCATTGTAGAAACTAGAACATACAAGTTTTTTTTTTTTTTTTTATTGACTTCAGAGAGGAAGGGAAAGGGAGAAAGAAACATCAAGGATGAGAACCATCCATTGGCTGCCTCCCGCTCGGCCCCCACTGGGGATGGAGCCCGGAACCTGGACACGTGCCCTTGAACCGGAACCGAACCTGGGACCCTTCAATCCGCAGGAGGTCGCTCTATCCACTGAGCTAAACCAGCTAGGGAGGTGTTGTTTTTAAGGGTGAAATGTCCCCTGTGGGAGACTGGACGATCCAGTTCCACTAACTTTGTGGACAAGCCACTGGTCTGCCCCAGCCACCCAATTCCCAAGACGAGATTTTTGTTGAAGTTGGAATGGGATTCCTCCACCATTCCCGTGATTCACCCGAGGGGGCGTGAAAGGAGTGTAAATTGGGACAATCCTGTCATCTCAAACCACTCAATCCAGTCTTGTCACTCTGCTTTCTTGAGTCCCACATCCACTACCCTAATCCAAACCAAGAACTTTAACCTGCCCACGAAGGCCCTTGGTAAACAGATTTCGATGACTTTAATCTTGAGTTTAACAGTGCCCCAGGCCATTGCCTCACCTAGTGCCCATTCCTCAGAACCTGACACTTGACACTTCCGTTGGTGAGAGTTCTCAAATAGTGAAGTTCCAACAAATGCTTCCAGATCCCTTTCTGGGACCCCCAACTAGGCTAATGAACCAAGAGTTGCCAAAATTGCCAAATTTCACTGCAATATTGATGTAGTGGTTGGTTTTTTGGCTATAGATTCAAACAAATGGAGCATCAATCCCAGCCCCTTCTCAATTGTGGCAAGTTATTGAACCTGAGGTGAATGTAGATAATAGCAGTGCTTACCTCACAGGTGTTGGTGTTGTGAGTCCTCCAAATGATAACTTATAGCAATAAAGTATTTAGTATTGTTCACCAACCTGTGCTGTGCTGCTCTTTGCTTATGGAAAAAACTTAAATACTCTCTCTATTGGGGCAATGATTTCCAAATCTTTTCCTTAGAATTTCCTTGCATATTTCTAAATAACATACTTATTCTTCATTTATAGTTTCAGATATTTTAACAACTGCCATACACACACACACACACACACACACACACTTCTCCATCTTAGTTTTTGTGAAAGCAGTTATTGAACATTTACATTATTTATAGTTGAGCCACATGGGGTATTATGACATTTGTTTTGGGGTAACCAATCCAGGATGGAGGAAAATGAGGGAAGATAGAACTAAGCATTTGAAAAAGCCAATTATTAATTCCCTAGAATAAGAAAAAGTACAACAGTCATACTAGAGAATACTTACAGAACACTTACTATGTGCCTGACAGTTCTGATATACATAAGGCACCAACAGAGGACTTTACAATTCTTACATGCAACACAAGGAAAAAGACTGGAGTTCTGGGCTCAGGTAGAAGCTAATTTAGATTTAAGCCTACACTTACTTGACTTCAAGCAAGTCACCTGAACTCCCAGGGACTGTTTCCCGAGAGACAGCAATTACTACTTCAAAGGCTGGTGTGAAGAGAGGATTAAACAAACTATTATTGCCTATAAAGTGCTCAGCTCGATGCCTGGCCCATTTTAGGTCCCACTCCATAAGAGCTATCATTAAAGGCACGTCCAACTTGCTATATTGTCAAAAGGGAAAAACTCCAATAAATCTAATCCAATTGAAATTGGTGGTGGATGGGTATGAGGTGGATAGGGGAGGGTTTAGCAGACACATAAATGCTTCTTTACGAAGAAAATATAATCAAAGTGTGATTTTTTTTTTTCCTTTTAAGAATCCAATTTCTAATCAATATAGTGCCTGTATCAAAACTAAAAATTCAAAAGGGGGAAAAAATCACAGACTACATTTTAAGTTATTTTACATCATATTCATTTTTCCAAGAGTCACTGTCATCCAAGAAAAATCCTCCTGGCCCTAATAAAACTTTGTTATACATATACAGACCTGCTGTATCAACAGTGTCCACTGTAGCCTTCTGCAATTATAGAAACGTCCTAGGCGCTAACTACACCTAATTATGGAGGACTTGAAATGTGGCTAGTGCAAAAAAGTAATTAAAATTTTTTACACGTTTTAATTGATTTAAGTGTAAAATGCCACATGTAGCTAATGACCATCCTATTAGATGTGCCAGCTTTATGATTTTGTTTGTTCAAATGCCTATGAAAATCTACATCAATGAGTAAGTTGTCTTAAGAGTTACTGTGCAGTTAATTATCATGTAATTATTATGTAATTTATCAATTACATCAGCTGTTGAAAATGATACAACAGCAAGCTTAGTAAAAGTATTTCTAGAGATGTACCATCTTGATTTGGGATTAGGATGTTGAAAGAACCATTCCATGTCTCCCATATTATGCAGCATAATTTTTTTTTTAAATACAGTGATTCCTGAAACATAAATACCTAGGCAAAAATAAAATCTTTTTTGATTTGCATGGAAGTCACAGCTGACAGGCACACATCAGGACATCCTGACTTCACGTGAAGTCCTAGTCTTGACAGAGTCCACAGGTGCGGGTTTATCCTGTCCTTCCCAACACAGCAGATGTTCCCTTAAAAAAGCAGGGAATGTGTAGAAAACAAGTGGCCTGTTTTATAAAACTCTAAATTTATTCAAAATGTTAAAAGATTTCACTCTCTCTTCTAAAATACTTTACATTAAAAAAAACAACAACACCTGTTTGCTGTTTTCCCAGACATGATACACACTTCTGCTTCCCTTTCTGGAAACCAGTCTCTGCCCACCAACCCTCCCCCCGGCCCTCCCTTCACTCTCCATATTGTTTATAAAACCTCCTTCACCTCGCCGCATGTCCTGCTCACTTCCTTTCCAGATTTTAGGCAGGCTGGAAGGGCAGTGCAGGACAGAATGCTTTGTGTTTCTGGGAGAAAGCTGATTGGCCTTTTTCTTGATCAAGTGGAGGATCACTATTTATTTGCCCCTTGGACATCTGTTCAGGGCCAAGTATTTGGCTTGGGCTTGCCCAAGGCCAGTAGCCCTGCCCCTTTCCCAGTTCCCCCAGGCATAGGTGCATAACAGCTGGGTCCAACAACTGTGCCATCTGTCTGCCTGTGGGTTGTGAACGACATTAAGAGTGGCACATGACTGGAGTAGGGCTCGATGGAGCCCCAACTCCTCAGGGTGTAGGAAACCAACCCCCCAGGGGAGGAAGGTTTGGTTGTTTGTAGACAAAACCAAGGTCAGCCTGGACCATGGGAGGTAGGGATCAGGGGAAGGTCTAATCGCATAGTTCTGGGATGAGCAACAGTCCAACAAAATCCACTCCCCTCTTCCATCCCGCCCTCTTCATCCTGTAAGTTACAGGATGATTCCGGAAAGGAGGGGGGAAAAAAAGAGGAAAGTGATTCTGTTCTGTGGATGGAAAAAAAGGCAGGTGATGATGACAAAGTACTTGGGGTTGGGAAAGGCCAGTTGGAGTCTGAGTCATCACAGCTTCTGTGTTCCAGAAGGGAGGGGGCGGGGCCGGGAGCCAGGCCCTAGAAGCTTCATCAGCTCTGTTCCTTGTCCCTGACTAGTAAGACTGTGTGCTGGCCCCCGCTGGACACAGATAGAACCAGGCGGTTCTCCAGCTGTTTGCCTGTCATCTCCACGGGAATCCAGGCATCCTCCTCCTGTCCCGTGCCCAGTTGGTAGTTAGTGCCCATGCCCCAGGCAAACACACGACCTGAAAGAGAAAGAAACGGGGGCAGCTATCTTCAGAATCCGCGGTGAGAGAAGCCTGGGACATAGGGTGAATTTAGCCTTGGCCTGTAGCAGCCTGGCAATGTCCCAGCCTCTGGGAGTCCAGGGAAGCTGGGAAAAGCCAAGGAGATGATGGTAAGAAGTTTTGTTATCCTGGGACCACAATCTTTAACCACCGCCAATTACTTCTCCCTATTCCTAGGCATGGCATTCAAGGCCCTACGTGACTAGCCACTCCGCAAATCCCCACACCACCCTCCACTCCCGGGACCAGCCACCTGAGACGGCTCTGGATGTTTCTGTGCCAGGATGCCCTCCTTTGCTTATCAGAAATCTTCAAGGTGTAGTACAAGCCCCACTTCCTCAGGAACTCTTCCCAGAGAGTCCCACATCCAGCACCTCCACCAGCCTGACTTCTCAAGGCCTCCATGGCTGTGAGCCTCATCCACTCAGGCTTTGGTGACTGCTCACTTACACCCTCCGCTGCTATGCTTGCCAAACCCAACTACTTTTTCCTAATAAAATTCTAAGCATAGCCGAAGCCGGTTTGGCTCAGTGGTAGAGCGTCGGTCTGCGGATGGAAGGGTCCCAGGTTCGATTCCGGTCAAGGGCATGTACCTTGGTTGCGGGCACATCCCCGGTAGAGGGTGTGCAAGAGGCAGCTGGTCGATGTTTCTCTCTCATCGACGTTTCTGGCTCTCTATCTCTCTCCCTTTCTCTCTGTTAAAAATCAATAAAATATATTAAAAAAAAAAAAATTCTAAGCATAACTCTCTGGACACTGGCACATACTAGGTTGTAAATAAAGAGGTCACCATGGTGGGAAATGTAAAGAAAAGCCTGAATCAGGAGTCTGGAAACCTGGGTTCAAGTCTACTGCCTGGCCAGGTCTCGGTTATTTATCCCCTTTTGCTGTTGTTATTTTTTCCTCTACAGAACAATTTACCTTTATTAAAATAATTTGTTTATTCCTCTGGCCAGTGTTGCTCAGTTGAAAGAGTGTTACCCATCCACCAAAGGGTTATAGGTTCAATCCCCAGCCACAGTCATGGCACATGCAGGAGGCCAACCAATGGATGTGTTTCTCAAATCAATATTTCTCTCAACCTCCCCTTCTGTCTTTCCACTCTTTCTCTATAAAAAAATAATAATTTTTAAAATTCATTTTAAGTTCATCAAAGTCAAAGCTTTTGATAATCAGAAGAAAAACCATGTTTTCATAAATAGTGCTCTGCATCTCAGCTCCATCTCATGGTGGACATCAGAGCCTGCGGGGTTATTTGATAGGAGTCACAACCCCCAGCCCCAATCAGACTGAGTGTGGGCAGCCCCACTTACCATCCTTGGTCACGGCGTAGCCCACAGAGGCCCCACAAGCCACGGAGGAGACAGAGGGCAGCCTGGAGATGAGGGTGGGCATGCTCTTCTCCTCAGCACCCTCTCCGAGGCCCAGCCTCCCATACTCAGCCCGGCCCAGGCTGTATGCTTTTCCTGTGGGAGGAGGGAGAGAGGTGAGGAGACGCAGAGGGTGTGTTCCAGGTTGGCCAGGCGAGTTCCCATATCCATGGGAGCTGGTCCCCATTTCCTGGGTGGTGAGGAGGAGGTTTTCGGTCTCTCTTCCAGTTTTGGGGGGGCCTGGGAGAACCTCCAGAGGCCCCCACTGAATTCATACTTAGCAGAGCACCAGGACTCTGACTCTGGGGGTTAGGTGTAACCTCACAGACCCACATCTGGCCCAGGTTCCAAGAGCCATGGTCTCAGGAGTCAGGCCAGGTCTGTGCAGAGGGATGAGGGCATTCCCGGGCCCAAGGTCCTACCTTCCGAATCCATGCAGACCGTGTGGTGTTGGCCACCAGAGAAGCCCACCCAGGACTTGGTAGAGTTCTTGAAGGAGGTCAGGTTCTGGGGTACAAAGCAAGACTCTGTGCCTGAGGTTCCTGGAAGGCAAAGGCAGGAGAGAGTTGTTAGGGGTGAAAGTGTCCAAGGAGCTGTTCTTCATCCTCTCCCACACCGAGGCCATCCTATCCTCTACAGCATATGAATATTTTCACTTTACAGATGACAAAACTGGCTCAGAGGGAGCCAGGATAGGAACTCAGGTCACTCTGGATATGCCCGACGCTGGGGTTGGGACTCACCAAGTTGGTGGTAGTTTGAAAGGCCAAAGCCATACACATGGCCCTCGACGGAGATGGCAAAGGTGAAGTAGGCGCCACAGAAGGCATCCTGGAATTTCACATGGCCCCGGGTCCCCCTGGATTTCAACAGCACACACTTGGGGACCAGGAGTCGTTCTGCAAGCAGAGAAGCAGCCAGGGTCAGTGGCAGACACACAAAGCCTCTCCTCTCTGCCCGGTGCTGGCTCCTCCCACATCACTAAAGCCCTCAAAGGGATGCTAAGCAGGGACTTTTCTCCCTATTAGAGGTATCTGAGGCCGAGAGAGTAAAGAGCCTCACCCAGACTCCCACAGCCCTAAGAGGTAATATCTACCTGGGATATTTACAGGTGCCATTCTTCTCCGGTAACTCGCTTAACCTCACAACCCAATGAAGTGGGTGGGTTTAGAGATGAGAAAACTATGTCCAGGGTCCCATAGCCAGCAGGTTGTAGAACCAGGATTCAAAACCAGGATAGCCTGGCTCTAGAGTCAAAGTTCTTACTATCTATCTATCTATCTATCTATCTATTCCATCATAGCTACTGGGCATTCAGCCATTCAGTCTATTTGCATATTCATCTGTGAGTGAATTTATTTATTGATTTGAAAGAGGGAGAGAGAAAAAACATTGATTTGTTGCTCCATTCACTTATGCAGTCATTGGTTGCCTCCTGTATGTGCCCTGACCAGGAATTGAACCCATAACCCTGGGGTACTGGGACAATCGTCAAACAAACTGAGCTACTGGCCAAGGCTAGAGTCAATGTCCTTAACTACCACTGCAAATCTATCTGATGTAAGCCTACACGCAGAGAATTCCTCCTGCCTGTGACCTTCATCAGGGGTTATATGCCGAGTTGTCCTGCCAGAGGGACCTAGCCCACCTACCGAGGCCCTGCCGGCCACCACGATTGGCAAATAATTCAGGGACACGGCCCAGCTGACCCTGCTCCCCGCAGCCCAAAGTGTAGAGGTCACCATCAAGTGTCAGCATCACCAAGTGGTCATTTCCTGAGGGCGAGAGGAAGGCAAGAGATGCAGGACTTGTAGAACCCAAGGCTTGGGCAACACCAGAATGAGGTTCTCCAACTCTGCCCAGAGCAAGTAACGCCAGACTCACCCGAGGCCACCTTCACCACAGGCTCACTCAGCTGCACTTGCACAGGTACCATGCTCTTCTTCATGGGCTCCAAGAGCCCAATCACACCATTATTGTCCTAGAAGGAGGGGCAAAACACTATCAGCCAGTCCTGCATGGCCCATACCAGCCAGATCAACCATAGAGCTGTCTGGTAAGGGGCACTGGTGCCAGATGGGGATGGAGAGGTGGACAGCAATGAGGCCATATAGTGAAATGCTTATGAATGAAATCATACATGGTCTGATATCAAAAGAGTACCCTAGCCGGGTTTGGCTTAGTGCAGAGGTCGTCAACCTTTTGGACTTCACGGAACACCAGTGTTCTGCGGACACTGGTTGGTGATTGCTGCTCCAAATGTTCGCTTAAACTTTCGGACCTCATGGACCACCGGTTGGCAACCACGGGCTTATGGATGGAGCTTCAGCTTCGTACCAAAAGGTCTTGGGCATGATTCTGGTCCAGATCACATGCTCGGGTTGGGGGCTCGATCCCCTGAAGGGGGTGGGCAGGAGGCTGCCGATAAATGATTCTCTCTCATCATTGATGTTTCTATTTCTCTCTCCCTCTCCCTTCCTCTCAGAAGTCAATAAAAATATATTAAAAATTAATATAAAAATCCAATATTCCTGAGAAGCGTGGAAGACAGCTAGGAAGGGAGAAGGAGAGGTTGAAGGTAGCAAGATGAGTACGAATAACAGGCTTTCTGGATCAGTCTCAGCTAAAGACCTCCTTGACCACCCACGTCTTTCCTAAGACACATTTCACATCAGATTCTAGGCAGCAGCCAAAGGAGTGGACAGGCCTGAATAAAGAAGCCAGAGACCTGGCTGGTCTGGGCCCAAGCTCTACTTCTAGACCTTGACTTCCTCGCCAGTAAGTAGAATAGGGACAGGAGATAGGTTATCCTTGGGGCCCCACCAGTTAATTCTGTCTGCCAGCCCATGCAGTCTCCCAGCCCATCTCACCCGGAAGGAGCCCCAAAGGAAGACTCGGCCGTCCTCGGTGAGCGCCGCTGTGTGACTGTCTCCTGCTGACACTTGCACCACTTTCTCTTGCAGTTCCACTTTCCCAGGCACCGTCTCGGAGCCCTCCACTGATGTGTCCCTTCCCAGAGCACCCTCATCGTTGCAGCCAAAGGAGTAGACCTGTCCAGGATGCCCCCATTAGTGCGAGATCTGGCCTTTCAGCCCATTCTTGTTCAGACCACCCCATGCAGCTAGCCAGCTCCATCTTCATAGGGAGGGAAATGTACGGCTTAAAGCTCCTTCTCCAAGCCCCGTCCCCCAGACCCGGTCCATCCCAGCCCCCAACCTACCTGGCCACTTTTGCTTAGGCACACGGTGTGCATGCCTCCAGCCTCAGCCTGAATGATGTCTTCCGGAATGGTTACTACAGCTGGCTTCTTCCTCTCCATCACATTCTCGCCCAGCCCCAGCTGGCCCACATCACCCTGGCCCAGTGTCAGCACCAAGCCCGGCTCTGTGCGGTGGGACCTATGTGAGACTGAGGAGTGAAAAAGACAGCCGAGTATGTAGGATGATGGGAGAGAGGAGAGGTCACTGCATGGGCTCTGGGTTCAATCCCCTGCTCTGCCACAGTCCTTAGTATGACCCTCTGAGCCTAAATTTCCTCATTTGTGAAATGGGGATATCAGAAGTCCCTATCTCACAGGGTTTGTGTAAAGGTTAAAAACTGAGCACATTAATCTGAAAGGAAGGAAATAGAAACAAGGGGACACTCAATACTGTGAAATGAATCTTGGTGGGGAGAACAGTGAACACCTAAGATAGTTTTGCTGATTAGCTGTAAGTTCTGGATAAGGCGCCATGGTGCCGAAACTGAGGGCTCAGGTAATCAAGTCTACTCTTTACTGACTGCTTACTCCACTAATGCTAAAGTGCTTTGTAGTCCCCCAAATTATGCTGCAGACCTCCTATATTTAAGATCCCATTTGATAGAAAAGGGAATGGAGCCTCAGAGAGGTTAACGGAGCTAATAAGTAGTAGTGTTTGCACTGAAACCAGGGGAGCCTACATGAATCTACACAGTCCCTAGCTCCATCCTCAGGGTGTCCCAGAACTCCTGATCATAGTCACACGGACACCCAGGTTCCTATAATGAGCTGAAGAGGGAGGAGCAGCACTAAGAGCTAACAGGTTTTTGCCAGGTAAGCGCCAACCAGTGGGCAGTCCAGGACAGCCAATGGTGTCCAGCCCCTCCCCCAGGGTTGCCAGGGCCTCTGAGGCTGCGCTGGGCAGGGAGCCACCTGGTCGGGTTTTCTGGTTGGCAGGGCTCGGCCTGCAGGCCCCTCGGGTGTGGTGGGCGCCTGGAACGCGGTGGGAAGCAACGGCCCTCACTGCCTGGTTACGAGGGTCTGCAAAAGACAGACACCGTCTGAGCACGGGTCCACACTCCCCCTTCTCCGATTGGGGCTGGCTTTCTCCTCCCTGTCTCCCTCCAGGGTTCCAGAAGAGAAAAAATCATGCCACCTCCCTCAAATGCTACCATGACATTATCTCATTTTCCTCACAACAGGCCAGTGAGGGTTGGACTTGTTCTCCCTCTTATTTCGGGAAAGGCGTAACCCAAGATCAGCGAGATTAAGCTACTTGCTCAGGGCCAAGGACTTGAACCCACATCTGGAAGTCAGTGGTCCAAACCATAAGCCATTACAGCCTGGGGCAAAACCTTAGGGTCTAGGTTTTTTTGCTAATGCCCGAGTGCTTTTAAACAAGTCTCTGTGCCTTGGGGGTGGATTCAATGATCTACGGGAGACCTGCCAACTGGGTGGAGCTTATGGACTTCCAGGCCCCTCAGCTTCAAATGTCAGCGGGGAAGGAGCCCAGTCCCGGATTTTGAGGGGTTCAAGAGGCCACACATACTGAGACAGAAGCCAACTTACCCTTCACTTTCTTGCTTTTGGGGAGAGCATCTTCTGGGGGTGACCTTTTCTTAGCCACACGCTTGGGTGGCATCTTCCTGTCCTGAAAAGCCCAGGCAAATACTCCATGTCAGATGGCAACCGATGTCCTGCTCTAACCAGGCAACATTAACAAAGACAAAGACCTCTACAAAGGCGAGAGGCACTGCCAGCGGTGCCACTTCTCAGGCAGTTCCACTTCTCAGATTTAAGAATGAGAACGGAATAATACACCCAAAGCAAGTTCCACAGATACTCTCTACTGTGTGCTTTATAACATAAAAAAAATAAAAAAATAAAAATGGAGCAACCATGTGCTTAACAGGAGTGGCTACGTAGCATATTCATGATAGAACAGTATGAAGCCACTAAAAGTAATGCTTTCAGAGACTTGTTTATTGAGTAGGAAGATGTTTTCCATTGCCAAATAATATAAGCACATCAAAAAACAGTTCATCCCATTTTAAAAAAAATATATTTTATTGATTTTTTACAGAGAGGAAGGGAGAGAGACAGAGAGCTAGAAACGTCGATGAGAGAGAAACATCGACCAGTTGCCTCTTGCACACTCCCTACTGGGGATGTGCCCGCAACCAAGGTACATGCCCTTGACCGGAATCAAACCCGGGACCTTTCAGTCCGCAGACTGACACTCTACCACTGAGCCAAACCTATTTCGGCAGTTCATTCCATTTTTGAAATATAAATGCATACACAGATGTAAAAATAAGTGTAGAAAAATGTATAGAAGGAAATATGTCCATTAACAATGATAACCTCTGGAAAATAAGATCATGGACAATTTTTACTTTTTTCTTTACACTTCCCTATATTATATAAGATGTTTAATAAGAAGTATTCCATATTTTTATTATAAAAAATGAAAAAGCTGGTGTGGCTGTAGCTGAGGAACATTCAGTACCCCTCATAACTGCCCTCAAACCCTGAGATAATCACTAGTAACTTTGTAACTAACGGTTAACTACATAACCACTATGTAACTCTGATGTACTACTGTTATTATCAGACTTTACAAAGTTATTCTAATGAAGTAAAACCAAACCTGACCATTTGTGCCCTCTGATCACAAAGTGCCCCTTCTGGGAGAAGCCTGGCTTTTCTAGTCCAACAAGGGCACTGTAGACCAGAATATCTCCTCACACTAACACACAAACACCAAGTTTTCAAAAGAGGGAAAGGAAATCGCCTCCAGGTGACAAGAAGGGTTGTTGGGCCCTAGCTGGTTTAGCTCAGTGGATAGTGTCAGCCTGTGTACTGAAGGGTCCCAGGTTCCAGTCCAGTCTAGGCACAGCTTGATCTCTGGTGTGGGGCATGTGGGAGGCAGCTAATCAATCAATGATTCTCTCGTTATTGCTGTTTCTCTCTCTCTCTCCTCCCTTCTTCTCTGAAATCAATACAAATTTAAAGGAGGAAAGAAGGAAGGGAAGAAGGAATGGAGGGAGAAAGGAAGGAAGGAAAGAAGGAATGGAGGGAGAAAGGAAGGGAGGAAGTTGGACCCAGGATGATTTGGGCAGTTAAAAGCCTCTCTTGAACCTCCTCCCCTTATTTATTTATTTATAATATATTTCATTGATTTTTTTACAGAAAGAGAGAGGGATAGAGAGTTAGAAACATCGATGAGAGAGAATCATTGATCAGCTGCCTCTTGCACACCACACCCCCTACTGGGGATTGCCTGCAACCAAGGTACATGCCCTTGACCGGAAGGGCCTTTCAGTCCGCAGGCTGACGCTCTATCCACTGAGCCAAACCGGTTTCGGCTCCTTCCCCTCCTTTAACTGCTCCCCAAGGTCTTCAGGTCTTCCCCAAGGCTGCTGAGAACAGAGGCATTCTCTCTCAATACCAATCCAGCCAATTTGTGCCCCAAACTTTTTCCTCCACTAATGCATCTTTATTGGGTCCTGGCCTTTAAGATCGTGAAGGACAGTCAGGTGGTCTAAGCCTGGGTGCCCAAACTCTGAATTGTAATCTTTCTGTATGGATGGCTGGAACCAGGACACTTTAAAGCTGTCCAGATGTGGAAGTGGTATATAGCCTGTGGCGGTTAAGAGTCTAGCCTCTGCCCTAGCTGGTTTGGCTCAGTGGATAGACCACTGGCCTTCGGACTGAAGGGTCCCTGGTTCGATTCCGGTCAAGGGCACATGCCCAGGTTGTGGGTTCAACCCCAGTAGGGGGTGTGTAAGAGGCAGCTGATTGATGATTCTCATCAACGTTTCTAACTCTCTATCCCTTTCTCTTCCTCTCTGTAAAAAGTCAATTAAAACACACACACACCACAAAAACAAACAAACAAACAAACAAACAAACAAATAAATAACACCACATATGATTCTGGTCAGAATTGGGCTTGGCCAAACACAAAGACTCACAGGGTTTGACTTAACCAACTATGTGGGTGGCAGACTTCCATTTAGTGAGATGAAGAATACTGTGGGGCAAGCAGGAGAGGAGACCTGGATCTCCATTTTACCAGGTGTTTTCATTGAGTCTGAAGTGCATGGGAACCAGCAAGAAGAGATGTTAAGTAGACAGAGGAGGGGATGAAAGGGGGTGAAATGTAAGAGGCAGACAGCTTGTACCACTGGCCAGGCTGGCAGCCAGCTCACTGTGTCCAGGGCCGGGCAAACGCAAATCCCCAGTCAGTTCCTCAGGATGGCCTGTAGCTGTTGTGGGGGTCCAGAAGAAGTCTCCCCAAGGAGTGCCTCTGTGGTATGCAGACTGTTTTGAGAATTTTGGCTTAAATTCTGGGGCCTCTCACTGCAAGCTAGTCACATTGTCCCTATTATACAGACACTAAGGGAAGGATCCCACCCACGTTTTGAAAAAGATCTGAACCAAGTTGGTCAGGCTCCAGAGCTACTGTCCTGGTCAGCTTCCTCACACTCTCCAGTCTCTCAGTCTGCCTGTCTGGGAACTCTCCATCCTCTCTCCCCAGGTGGTCTCCCTGCTCCCCACCCCCACTCCATTCTACCAGTCATTCCTGATCTTTCTAAACCTCAAACCTGAAACGAGCTGCTTCCTTGCTCAGCTCCCTTTGCCTGGAATAGGAAGCCCACATTTCTTAGCCTGGTACTACAGATCTCCAGGCTCTGATACGGACTTAACCTTTGGCCTCATCTCTTATCTGTAATAATAAAAGTGTAATATGCTAACTAGACCAGACAGCCGAACGACCTTCTGGACGAAGCCGGGGCTGCACCCGAGGGATAGAGGCAGCCTGCGGCTTCGAAGGCCTACTCTTGCACAAATTTCCTGCATTGGGCCTCTAGTCTTTATATCCTCCTATCTCTTCCCACACAGTTTGCATCTCTACATCCGTATCCTACTGGAGAACTTCTACTCAAGTCTCAAAGGCAACTCCACCGCTCCTCTGATCCTTTCCCCGTCCTAAAGGAGTCATTCTCTCCCAGAGAAACGAGGACAGACTTTTGGATCATAATTACTTTAATTTGCATGTGTATCCCCCATACCAACCTACTCTTTAAAATATGCGCCTCACTGGGACACCAGCCACTCCTGTCCTCTATGTGCCCGCACCATTTTACTTCTGCCAACCAGCTGAAGAAGGCACTCTCACTCCTATTTCAAGGTGAGGGAACTGAGGCACAAGAGCAGTAAATGTATTTGCCTAAGTTCACACAGCTGGTAAAGGAGAGTCAGAGACAGAACCCAGGTATATCTGATAAACAAACAAGCAAGCCCTAAGCGGTTTGGTTCAGTGGATAGAGCTTTGGGTCCCGGATTCAATTCCAGTCTAGGGCATATACCTTGGTTGCAGGCACATCCCCAGTAAGAGGTATGCAGGAGGCAGCTGATTGATGTCTCTCTCTCTCATTGATGTTTCTAACTCTTTATCCCTCTCCCTTCCTCTCTGAAAAAAATCAATAAAATATATTTAAAACAAACCAAAAAAAGGTAGCCCATGATCCCAGCAGGGGTGGAGGCAGCCTGGGCAGGCCTCCCAGGGCCCCCCATGAACTTGGGCAAACACAAAGGGCAAAGGGCAGAAGGAAGCTGAGAGGGAGAGGATGGTGAGACCAGAGAGAAGACACTGAGGCTGCGAGGCTGGGCCAGGTGGGTGAAGACTCGGAAGGAGAATGGGTACAACTCCCTGCTGTGGACTTGAGCAATGACTTTAAGAGTCGAACAGAGCCGAAACTGGTTTGGCTCAGTGGTAGAGCGTCGGTCTGTGGACTGAAAGGTCCCAGGTTCGATTCCGGTCAAGGGCATTTACTTTGGTTGCGGGCACATCCCCAGTGGGGGGTGTGCAGGAGGCAGCTGGTCGATGTTTCTCTCATCGACGTTTCTAGCTCTCTATCTCTCTCCCTTCCTCTCTGTAAAATATCAATAAAATATATTAAAAAAAAAAAAAAAAGTCGAACAGAACCCAGTTCTCTGGGCCTGAGAATCCTCGGCTCTCACATGGAGGTCTCTGGGCACTGCAGTGCTGCTGTGAGCAATCCTCGGGGCAGGACAGGGAATGAGAGGGCACCTTCTCAGCGTGGAGTCTGACACTGCCACCTGCCGCCTCTGCAGCACACTCAGTCCTTGTGCACACTCCCTCTCTAACTGCTCTGGCTGTGTTTTCCTAACCGGACGGGGGGTGTCTGGCTGGGAATAAGTAGCAGTCTTTTGTCCACCCACAAGCCACAAACAGCTCTTTGAGGAGCTGACAATCTGGGAGAAGAGACACAGTCCCAAATAATTAAAAATCAGACACAGAGTCAACTCTCCCGGAATGCTCACACCTGCCTCCTGAGGTAGAAGCGGTCACCCCGGTTTCACAGATAAGAAAGCTGAGGTGCAGGGAAAGGCACCCCAGGCCACTCAGGAGGGGGGTGAAATGGCCGGTCTCCTGGCCACTCGGACGGGGGGCCAGAGCTCCCCTCCTGCCTCTTCCTGGCTGTTCTGCACGTGACGAATGTAGGCACATCAGACTAGACCCACGGATGCCAAGCTTTCGGACCTCACGGACCACCAGCTGGTGACCGCTGGGCTAGACAGTCTACCAGGGAGGGCCTGGTGCTCCTGCTT